CTTTCTCTCACTATAATCACACCCTTTTTCATTGTTATGCATTACAGCTCTAAAGAGATCAAATATATTAGCAATAGCAATTTTCTGTTTACAAATAGTGAGATTATCTTCATCATTACATCTTCACTCCTTATTTCTATTCTATTTCTGCTCAGCCTCAGCCCTCAGGCTTTCTTTCTTTTCTTTTCTTTAGTTTTTCGTTTCTGGTTGGCTTGAGTTATTTCTTTTCATCATTCTAATTATTACAAAGTCCCATGAAATATACAAATTACTCCCAAGTTCCAAATTTCTTTTTTTTTTAAATTAAATTGTGTGTAATTACCAGAATACCCTCATTTCATTTTGTTTTTTAACAAATTAACCCATTTGCCATGGTTGTCAAAGCTCTCCGGTGACGGTGAACTGTTGCTAACGGCGGAAAGCGCCTGATCACCACTGCCAGTCATCTTTGCTTGCTTAATTAAATTGTTATTTTCCTATGCTCAAGTTGTTATTTTTATAAACCCAAATTATTATTTTCATATGCATGAGTTGTAATTTTTCTATACTAAAATTATTATTTTCGTATGCCTAAGTTTTTATTTTCTTTTTACCCAAATTATTATTTCCATAAACCTAGTCTAAGTTGTTATTTTTCTATAACATAGTTGTTATTCTTATATACACCCAAGCTGTTAGGTTTTTATATTCAAATTTTTTAAATAATGAACAAAAGTTATCACGCCCTCGCGCGGGGTACACACATATGTATAATATTTAGGACCAATATGTAATGGTTATTGAACATTTTAGGAATCATGTGGGTTAGGGTTCTACTCCCACAAAGACCACCCTTTTAGGACCAATATGTAATGGTTATTGAACATTTTAGGAATCATGTGGTTTAGGGTTCTACTCCCACAAAGACCACCCTTTTCAAAAATGAATTTGGATCTGGTGAGTGTTTTAAATTAATACACTCACTCAATAGTATTTCATCTGACATGATAACGGTTTGATTTAATCAAAAAGTTGTTAATTATGTTGTCATATGATAACAAATGAGCATCAAATTTCAAAATTTTGAAGAAGACATTATAAGTAAGGTATGTTTTGATTGTGTTGATTGTTTTGAATTTTTGAAGGAAAATATATATAGAAAATTTTCAAGTATTGACAAAATTTAATAGTTGTAATTGAGACATTCATTGAGTAAATGTATTTAGGGTATTCACTAAATTCAAATCCTCAAAAAATTAACCAACTTTGGCCATCGGACTAGCAAAAGAGTGGCTGATGGGAGCTCCAACCATGGCGGATGCGTTATTAATTTCAAAAAGAAGGAAACAAGGGCATTTTGATAATTAATTATTATACATAAATTTTTTTATAAATAATGAATTTGAGACTTGGGAGTAATTTGTATATTTCATGACACTGTGATAATATGAATCCCTATAAGAGACTTGATAGAACTTATTTTCCCATTGCTTAATGTGCAGAATAAAATGAAGTATTAAAAATAATTTCATTGATAAAGATATTTCTACTCCTTTAATATAAGAAATAAAAGAAATTAATTATTTAGTCCCTGAAATTTAGACTCAATTATGATTTAGTTATTAAATTTTAATTTATTGCAACTCAATTCTTATAGTTTTAATTAGTTATAACTTAATCTCTAAACTTTAATTTAGTATAACTTAGTCCCTATATTTTTAGTAATTTATAACATTGATCTCTATATTTTAAAAATAAAAATATAAAGATTATTTTTTTAAATTTTAATCTTTATAATCTTTAGAAAGATTAAGGACCTGCTTGTTTAAGATTACAAAATAAGTAATTTTTATGTAGTTTAGATATTTTATAAAAAGAGATTTATTTTGTAGATATTTTATAAAAAATAGAAATTATTTTATTTTGATTATAATAATAAAAAATGATTATTGTTTAGTTATTTTTAAATTTTATGATATCTTCCTTAATTTTTGTTTTATAAAAATAATTTATTGTTATATTATTCTAAAATTTTATGATATCTTCACGTATTCTGCCTCTTTAAAACACTATGGGATTGTTTGTTTTACCTTATTTCATAAAAAAAATCACTTATTTTTTGAAAAAAATCTATTTTGTGAGTTTTTAAGTTATTTGTTTAAACTTTTAAAAATAATTAGAATATAAGAAAAAGCAAACATATGATTATTTTAAAAAGCTACTTTGAGTAGTTTATAAAAATAATCTAATGTGATAAACAAGATATAGTGTTTTAAAGAGGCGGGATACTTAAAGATATTATAAAATTTTAAAATAATATAATAATAAATTATTTTTATAAAATAATAATCAAGAAAGATATCATAAAATATAAAAATAACTAACTAATAATCAATTTTTTAGTATTATAACAAAATATAAAATAATTTCTTCTTTTTATAAAATCTCTACAAAATAAATATCTTTTTATAAAATCTCTAAACTACTTAAAAATTATTTTTTTAATATAAAACAAATGGGCCCTATATATCATCTATTATATTAGATTATTTTCATAAGCAACTTTAAAATAATGAGAAATCTGCTTTTTTATTATAATTATTTTTAAAATTTTAAAAAACATCATAAAAATTTACAAAATAGATTTTTTTATGAAAATAAGTGATTTTTTCATAAAATAAGCTAAAACAAATGAGCCCTAAAAGTCTTAGTAGTTTAAAATATTAATCTCTAAATTTTAAAATAATTTAAACTTTTATAATTTTATTTTCTAATATATAGAGACTAATATTTTAAATGATTAAAACTATAGGGATTGAGTTACATTATGTTAGTTTAGGAATTAAATTGCAACTGAGTCAAAACTAAAAAGATTAAATTACAACAAATCAAAGTTCATGGATTGAGCTACAATTAAGAGTGAAGAAGTTTTAAATTAGATAGTAAAGATTATCCAAAAAAGGGGATATTGATGATTAATATAGTGATTAAATGTAAAGTGAGCATATTTGGCACCATTCAAGCTTTGTTGAAGATTTGAGAGTGTGTATTTGAAGGGTTAAACCTTTGACTTCTCAAAAGTTTAAGGTAATGAGGGAATTCTTTCTTGTGCTTTTATGTGTTAATTGATTTATTGAGTTATATGTTAAAATTGAAGTATGTGAAGTTATTGAATGCAAATGTGGCATAAATTATTTGTAAATCAAATATTATACATTTGTAGTGTTCAATGATATAATTTGTGCAAAGTGCAATCATATGGTTTGTAAAGTTCAATGATGTTTGTATAATATGGAGTTGATGAATGTAAAAAATATGAAGTTCTATGAATATTTGTATAGTGGAGTTCAATAATGTGATATTTATGGAGTTTAACAAAATGTATGGTTGAGGAGTTTGACAAGATAAATTAAAGTAAAGTGGAGTTCAATGATTTGATTATACATGTTTATGTGATGTTCATGTATGAGTTGAGTACAATGATAATGTTATCCATGCCTGAACTTTAAGTAATTGCATGTCTTGAAATGTTGCATTATTATCAATGATGAATGCCACGTGTTTTTTTATTTTTTAACTTCTAAAATATATGCCATGTGGCATATAAAAGTCAAAGTGACGGTCAAAAATCAATCTGTTAGTCTGGGGCTAAATTGTATCGTTTTGAGAAACATTAGATAATGCTGTACTTTTAAATATTTTAGAATATCAATTACACTTTTAAAAAAAATTTAAAGATAAATTTACACTTTAACTCAAATAAATATAAAAATTATTTAATACCTTATATTTTGAATAGACAAAATTTTTAGAAGATGTTTTATATTATGATTTAGAAAATGATATAGAAATTATAAATAAATACCCTACAAAATATTAATATAAAAGTTTTACCAAAAAAATATTAATATAAATGAAGTCTCATAAAGTCTCATAAATTGTAAATAAATATCAAAATATAACTGTTATTTTTTTACTCATATAAAAGATAAAAAATATCATTTTGATCAACTACTTTGACCAGCTGAGGATGACTATTGAATCACCATTGTTGACAACAATATATGTAAGTAATTAAAATATTATTATTATTATTATTATTATTATTATTATTATTATTATTTTGAGGAAAATTCATAAATAATAAAATTAATATATAAATTATTAAATATTAAAATTTAAATTAATATATTATTAATATATATATATATTTAATTACTTGTAATTGTTCTTACCATGATCCCATAGTCACTTGATAAGAAATTGTATTTTAGGATTTTATATGAATAAGAAATAACCATTTCTTTAAATCCTTCACTCACTCACTCACCCTTTAATTTTTGAATCTGAGCTGGTTTGTTGAGCTTGCCTCTGATCGCTTTCTGTTGACCTGTGACTCAATAGACTGTATGTGTCTGGTTCAGAAATGGATACAGAAGGCATCGCAGGGCCGATGATGACTCATCCAATACCGTGCTGTGCTTTTTAAAATCCCGCTCAATCACGTAAATACTTCCAATAATAATCATTAAACCCTTTAATTTTCTGTAATTTTCATTTAAGGCTTGTCTGGAGGAACTCAATGTCCAGACTAGTAAAAATAGGACCCCAGTGTGACATTCTAAAAAAAGCTAGAAATTAAATAAGAGATTTCCTTTTTCAAAAGTGAGAGTGTTTAATTTTTCTCTCTTTCTTGAGTTTTATATCATTTTTGGATATCAGAACCAAGGTTTCGGAGTTAACTATAGTACACTTAGCCTTTTTATAATTACAAAGAAAACAGGTGGGGGGATAGACACAACAATAAAATATATACTCCTTGGTCCTATCTATATGGCAAAGAGAGGGTGACTGTTTTAATTCTATTTATAAGATACTTCAATTCTTATTATGTTTATTTTTACTCTCTTACCTTTATTAAATGTTGAGAAAGTTATTAAAAATTATAGTATTTTATTTTTAAAGTGTGCATATTCAATAGGATTAAAATTAAAAACTTGTTAAATTTTAAATAGAATTAATGAAATTTAATATTTTTATTTATTTTGATAAAAATAATTAGAAATACTAACTTCTAAATAGGATCAGAGGAGTAGATATTAAGGGTGTGGCCAGGGCAACTATAATAATAGCAACTTCTGTGGCCATCTTTTATATGGATCGGACTTCATAATGACCCGAGCCCTTATGGGCTAAAATTGTCAGGGTGTGGCCCTAACTCTAACTTCATTTCAATGTCTTTTCTTGGTTGGAACAAGAAAAGGAACCAAATTATGTCACGATGTAAGTTAATTGGTAAATCAGCGTAGAAACCTCCAGCCAATGGTTGCCAAATATCGGCATTAAGATCAGCAGGCTCATTAGATTTTTGGGTTGCTGCTGCTGAAATCTCATGACCGCCCCAAAGTGTTGATCCATTATCCAGTGACATTCTAAAATCTACGAGAGGTCGAATGCTCTTGCAATCCAATTCTGCAAGTGATCTCAAGATCGAAATGCCAGGAACAATAATGTTGCTCCTAATAATCTCATCTTTCTGTAATGTCACTTGTGTCAATAATGACCAGCGTGTCATGCCATTGGGAACTCTTGCAAATCCATCACCTGTACGGCTGCAACATTCCTCTTCTGTTAATATCACCTCTTCAATCTCCAACGCCCTCCATTTTGCATCATCAGAAATATGATAATCTGTAACTTCCTCTGTTATTATCTTCTGATCTTCAAGCCCCAATGTGTCTCTTGGTGCGACGGTCAGATCATTCATGTTTATATCCTTAGGCTGCTCAACTGTGTGCTGTTTATGAGAAGAGATATAGTCGTAGTGTTTGTTGAAACTGCCAAACTCAATGGGAAGATCTAACCAACGAATTGGAGTGACGAAGGGAAGTAAAGACGAAAAGTTCAACTTTGCATTGTCCATGCACTGATCTGGCCACGATGATATCTCCCTGAATGATACAGAGACAAGCTTAATCCGAAACCCAGAGAAAGTATTGGCGTGGCTAGAGATGAAGAGCTTCACAGTGAATTTATGGAATGACAAGTTAATCAGATCCAGAAAATTGTAGGTAGCCACTAGACCTGAGCTTGTCTCCTTAATATTGCCACCAATGTTAATGAGTCTAAGCTTTTTGCAGTCTCGAATGGACAACTGGGAAAGCTTGCTCAGGATACTTGAAGAATGAATCTGAGCCAAATTTTCACATTCGTCAAGATATATCATTCTGATATTGGGGGCATGAGAGAGATCTGGAAGATCAATGAGATGTTTCGAGCCTCTTAGATTCATTAATTGTAAATTTGGGAAATGCTGAAATGAGAAAGAAAATAAATAAATCAGAAAATTAAATCTACAGTTTAATCATCAAGTTGCTCTCTCATGAGAAAGGAGACACTGTAAAAGATGTTAATTAGTTAATGAAATGTAACAAGAGACACAATCACGCACACATGTACAAATAGTAAACGGATGATGTCAAAACTTGACAAGCAATATTTTTAAATTTTTAAATATACACACAACAGATGCACTTTTACATTTCCTATTGAAAATAATCTTATTTGAGCTCGGATCATGCACTAAATGTGGCTAGGGACCTTTAATTTTTTTTAATGGAATTCAGGCATTGCTTTATTACATTGTATCCCTTTCATTAGACCTAGTTCCATTGATTTCAAATATATATATATATATATATTTCACTGTTAGTCAGTTATTTAACTAACAAAAAGTGGTAACCAATTAGTAATACTTTCTCAAGTTTTGTATCATGTGCGTGCAAAACCAAATATAATAAAATTTATATTATATATATATATATATATCAACCTTTAATATGTTACATTTTTATTAGAGATATAAAATACCAATCATTAAGGGAGTTATCTACATAATTTGAAAGTTTAGGAGTTTATTGTCAAATATTAAACGGTTAAGAAAAATGTTTGTACGAAACCTAAGAGAGAAGTTATACATGGAAAGTGTAAGATTTTTTATTAATGAAAAAATTAGTCTCATACAAATATTTAATAATTAATCATTTCTAGTTATTATAGCATATGAACTTCGAGAAAAATGGCCCTGCGGAATTAATTATATTGGGAGAATGAAAATTAAGGCCATCTCAAGGAACTTTATCCCAACAAGCTAAGAATCCATAAGTTCTAAGAGAAACCCTAAAAAAAAATAAAAATAAAAATTAGGATTCAGATTTTAACAACAATATATACTTATTTTTACAAGATAGTATTCAATAAAAAAATTTGTGAGCCTTTATTGGGATAAGATCCTTTCAGAGGGCCTTAAGTGTCATTCTCCCTTAATTGTTTGAAGGATATTTGTTACACCAGATATCATTTACAACTGAATAACAATTATATATATAGTCACAAATAACAATTCTATACATAAAGATACAAAATGCAATACATGCCTGATCTCCATCCCAAACTTGTTGCAGATGATTTTGAGGCATTTCTAGTTCTAGAAGATTGTCTAAGAATATGATTAAATTATTACCATTTTTAATCAATATGGTCTAATCAATATTTAATTATTCATAACTTTCTTTTTTTTTTTAAGAATATGCGTTACTCCCTAGCCCCTTGCCTTCCTGCACTTAGTAATTTTTTTGGTCCAAAGAGGTCAAAACATGAAAGCAAAAAAAGGAAAGGTAATGTCAGTCAGACTGTTTCTCCCAATTTCTGCGTTTGTCATAGCATGCTATGAGAAACATGACTCTGTCCTTTGCCCCAAGATATCAATTTTACAATCCGTATTTTAATTTGTTCACTCTTCATTTCCAAGACCAAGCTTCAGTGTAAACACATATTCTGTTGTCATTCAAGCCTGAGTCTCATTTTTCAGGGTTTAAACGGATAGGCTCACTAGCTCAGACGTCTTCTCATACCAAATTTTTTCAGCGTGATTGATAAAATTTCATAATTGAGATAGTTTTCATGACTAAACTTGACTGATAAAATAAATAGAAAAGCACAATGTTTAGCCTCTATAATTTTATGGTATTTTATTTTTAGTCCTTATATTTTATTTTTATTGTTATCAATTTCTATAATTTCTATCGTCTATAATGCTAGTCCCTCGAGTTATTAATGGTGTTAAATTTGTTGAGCTGTCATTAACATTGTTAAATTTTATGATGAGTCACCATATACCAAGCTTTAACTTTGAAGACAATCCCTTGTCCTGGGGATATTTGATCCCAATCCCATATCAATCCTTAATCATTAAAAATAATTCCATTGGTTTGTGCTGCAACTGCTACATGTATAGAAATATGGGAAAAACTTTCTAGCTACTTGTGTTGAAGTTCAAATATGAGAAAACTCTTTAAAGGATTATGTACGATGGTCAGATTATGTACGATGCGGGATGAAAGCCTGCTGATTAAAGTTCACCGAAATTAAGAAATTGCGATGCTCTGTGGTAAGTTGGGCTCACTCTTTAAAGGACATTCGACTCATTCCCAATCCTGCAAGCTCCTTTGCTAGCCAGGTTCCAATCCCCATCTCACATTCTAATGGGCTGGGTTTAGGCTTAGCTCCATGAACAAACGCAGGCCCCAAAAAAAAAATTTGTAGAGATGTTTTAAAATTTGGTAGAGATGGCATGCTAATTTCACTTACACATGCCCGGGCTTGGGCTTCAGAAGAAACCCAGGCAAGAGCACACATTCTCACCAAGAATTCTTTTTTATTTTTTTTAAGGGGATATGATATTCAATTGAAAATTTGTGGGCACCAAACAGGAATTTTCAATTGACTAGGTATAATTTCTTCACGGAAGCGACGCTAATGACGGTGGTAATAATTTAATCAACTTTCAACTATGGGATACCTAAGTAACGCATGTTCTAAGATTGTCTAATAATCAAATTATATTGATTATTCTTCAAAACTAATCTTAAATACCTTTGTTAGCCTCCTAAGCCTTATTTATTTCTTTTATCCTATCATAGATCCTTCTAGACATTACCGTGTTGATTTCTCAATTTTAGACACTTCTACAAAATCTCTAAAAAAATTATGCTTTTGTCCCATAAAAATTTTAAATTATGATTTGGTCCTTGAGAATCATTTTATCTTTTCAAGACACTTTAAGGACTTCTAATTAATTAAGCTTAGTAGCTTACTAAATTTTGACATATACTTGAACTTCTATGCCCAAAATTTGGGATGTTACGAGATTCCTAATTATGACGTTAAAATAATATAATATTCATTTAATAATTATCATAAATAAACATTATGAACTTATTTTTAAAAACATTTAAGTGATCTGATAGTGAATAATCAACTTATTTTAATGGATGAGATTGGATATATGAGATGTATTGAGATAGGATATGGAGATGATCCAAATCTCTTATATGAGATATTTAATGATGATATAATTAAAAATTGTAAAACTTTTAAGATATTAAAATTTCAACTAACTTTGTTTTTTGTTGTAATCGTGAAGTGGCCATGAATGCCTTGTATTGTGGTCAAGATGAAGCATTACTTGGTAACTCTAAGAGAAATTCTTAGATAGATCTAGTGCATCAGGTTATCAATGGTTTATCAAATAAAAATATAATACTCAGATGATATTGAGTATAAATTAATTTTGACATTAATGATAATGAAAGAAAAAAGCTAAGAAATTAAGTATGCATTTATAAAAATAAAATTATTAAAAATAATGACACATAAAATTTTATTTAATTAAATTGGTATAATTTTATTGAATGGATCATGAACGATGAATGATGAGATGCATCGAATTCATTTGAGAATTTCTCCTTCTACTAATTTTATCTGTTTTAAGACTTTTCACACACACATGTGTTGTAATAATCCTCAAAAACTACATTGAATTATTAATTATTCCTTAATTTCCGGGTGATTTCTTCAGTTTTGGTCGGCGCATCCTTTTCTTAATTAATGTTAGAGAATCAAGACAACCCAATCCTATAGGCAATATTTTTTGAGAATTTGGAGTGGTGCGAATAAAGAACATTCTTTATGGAGTAAAGAAATCATTAATATTAATCTATTAAGTGTATGCTTGTATTAATAAGTGGGCCATTCAGATTCTAATTCTTTTTTCCCAAAAAGCAAAATGGTAATGCGACACAACGAAGCAACACCGCAATACGCGAAAGAGACAAAAGCCTCTAAACGTGGGGACGCGTGAAGACTTGACCTGTTGACCACAAGTGCGCGTTCGGTGGAAGGTTTTAAAAAAAACAAAAATCAAAGGAGAGAAATAATAATACACTTTTAAAAAAATTCACATTTTAAAATATAACATATCTTAAAAAAAAAAATTTTATTAATAATATTTTTTTAATATTATTATTTTTATATATTCTATTTATTTAATATTATTTTATAAATAAAATATTAAATGAAGGATATTTTTAAAAGTTTATATTTTTATCTTTTTGTAACATTTATTTAATAAATTTTGTTGATATATATAATTTTATTTTAAAATTTTTTATAATTTAAGATGAAGGGAGTACTTTATTTGTTACAGCACTCTTTAATTTAAGACCAAGAACCTACTATTTCTTAAAAGAATATTTATGTTATTTTCTTATTTTCAATTCTTTTCATATTTAGATATTGTTAATTTTTTTTCATTCACTTTTAGAAAGCCCATTTCCCTTTTGGTTTCCCATCTCTTTAAAGAATCTCTTCATTGTATCATATATGACGCATGACCTACAAGTTTTTATTTATTTTAATTTTGTAATTAGAGTAAACTAATGTATTTATTTATTTATTTACAATTCAATGATCCATATACTAATATGTAAATTTATTGAAAGGGAAAGTAGTATGAGATTTATTGCCTTTTGAATATAATATTGCTTTTTTCAAAACAATTTGACCTCATTGTTTGTGTATAATTATTTGAGAGATTGAGCAATTTAAATTGAAGTCTGTGAAACAAGAGAGATGCTATTTCTTTTGTTGATCTCTTAATCTGAAGAACTTGTCTGAAGAGGAGAAAGTCTGCAAATCTCGAAGCAGCCATTTTTGAGACCTTGTGAGCTTCTATATCTTTATTTGCTTCCCTCCACATCCACCAGGTTATTCCTATCCATTAATTCTTCTCTTTTATTCTCTTTCACTAGCTTCATCCCTTTGATCGGTTTACTGTTCTGCAAGCTATTTTCCCCCCCAGAATTTTCAGTTTTCTTTTTTTTTTTTGCAGAAAAAATTCTGCACAAGATTTAATTTGCTGTTTTCTTCTTCTAGTGTTGAATCTCCTCCCAACATTGGTAGATCTAATAGAAGTTATACATGTGAGATTTTTTATGCGTTAATTTAACTTCTGAAAGGCAAAATTGTTGTTCTTTCTCTCACTATAATCACACCCTTTTTCATTGTTATGCATTACAGCTCTAAAGAGATCAAATATATTAGCAATAGCAATTCTCTGTTTACAAATAGTGAGATTATCTTCATCATTACATCTTCACTCCTTATTTCTATTCTATTTCTGCTCAGCCTCAGCCCTCAGGCTTTCTTTCTTTTCCTTTCTTTAGTTTTTCGTTTCTGGTTGGCTTGAGTTATTTCTTTTCATCATTCTAATTATTGCAAAGTCCCATGAAATATACAAATTACTCCCAAGTTCCAAATTTCTTTTTTTTAAATTAAATTTGTGTGTAATTACCAGAATACCCTCATTTCATTTTGTTTTTTAACAAATTAACCCATTTGCCATGGTTGTCAAAGCTCTCCGGTGACGGTGAACTGTTGCTAACGGCGGAAAGCGCCTGATCACCACTGCCAGTCATCTTTGCTTGCTTAATTAAATTGTTATTTTCCTATGCTCAAGTTGTTATTTTTATAAACCCAAATTATTATTTTCATATGCATGAGTTGTAATTTTATATACTAAAATTATTATTTTCGTATGCCTAAGTTGTTATTTTCTTTTTACCCAAATTATTATTTCCATAAACCTAGTCTAAGTTGTTATTTTTCTATAACATAGTTGTTATTTTTATATACACCCAAGCTGTTAGTTTTTTATATTCAAATTTTTTAAATAATGAACCAAGGTTATCACGCCCTCGCGCGGGGTACACACATATGTATAATATTTAGGACCAATATGTAATGGTTATTGAACATTTTAGGAATCATGTGGGTTAGGGTTCTACTCCCACAAAGACCACCCTTTTAGGACCAATATGTAATGGTTATTGAACATTTTAGGAATCATGTGGTTTAGGGTTCTACTCCCACAAAGACCACCCTTTTCAAAAATGAATTTGGATACGGTGAGTGTTTTAAATTAATACACTCACTCAATAGTATTTCATCTGACATGATAACAGTTTGATTTAATCAAAAAGTTGTTAATTATTTGTCATATAATAACAAATGAGCATCAAATTTCAAAATTTTGAAGAAGACATTATAAGTAAGGTGCGTTTTGATTGTGTTGATTGTTTTGAATTTTTGAAGGAAAATATATATATATAATTTTCAAGTATTGACAAAATTTAATAGCTGTAATTGAGACATTCATTGAGTAAATGTATTTAGGGTATTCACTAAATCCAAATCCTTAAAAAATTAACCAACTTTGGCCATCGGACTAGCAATAGAGTGGCTGATGGGAGCTCCAACCGTGGCGGATGCGTTATTAATTTTAAAAAGAAGGAAACAAGGGCATTTTGATAATTAATTATTATACATAAATTTTTTTATAAATAAGGAATTTGAGACTTGGGAGTAATTTGTATATTTCATGACACTGTGATAATATGAATCCCTATAAGAGACTTGATAGAACTTATTTTCCCATTGCTTAATGTGCAGAATAAAATAAAGTATTAAAAATAATTTCATTGATAAAGATATTTCTACACCTTTAATATAAGAAATAAAAGAAATTAATTATTTAGTCCCTGAAATTTAGACTCAATTATGATTTAGTTATTAAATTTTGATTTATTGCAACTCAATTCTTATAGTTTTAATTAGTTATAACTTAGTCTCTAAACTTTGATTTAGTATAACTTAGTCCCTATACTTTTAGTAATTTATAACATTGATCTCTATATTTTAAAAATAAAAATATAAAGATTATTTTTTTAAATTTTAATCTTTATAATCTTTAGAAAGATTAAGGACCTGCTTGTTTAAGATTACAAAATAAGTAATTTTTATGTAGTTTAGATATTTTATAAAAAGAGATTTATTTTGTAGATATTTTATAAAAAATAGAAATTATTTTATTTTGATTATAATAATAAAAAATGATTATTGTTTAGTTATTTTTAAGTTTTATGATATCTTCCTTAATTTTTGTTTTATAAAAATAATTTATTGTTATATTATTCTAAAATTTTATGATATCTTCACGTATTCTGCCTCTTTAAAACACTATGGGATCGTTTGTTTTACCTTATTTCATAAAAAAATCACTTATTTTTTGAAAAAAAATCTATTTTGTGAGTTTTTAAGTTATTTGTTTAAACTTTTAAAAATAATTAGAATCTAAGAAAAAGCAAATGTATGATTATTTTAAAAAGCTACTTTTGAGTAGTTTATAAAAATAATCTAATGTGATAAACGAGATATAGTGTTTTAAAGAGGCGGGGTACTTAAAGATATCATAAAATTTTAAAATAATATAATAATAAATTATTTTTATAAAATAATAATCAAGAAAGATATCATAAAATATAAAAATAACTAACTAATAATTAATTTTTTAGTATTATAACAAAATATAAAATAATGTCTGCTTTTTATAAAATCTCTACAAAATAAATATCTTTTTATAAAATCTCTAAACTACTTAAAAATCATTTTTTTTAATATTAAACAAATGGGCCCTATATATCATCTATTATATTAGATTATTTTCAGAAGCAACTTTAAAATAATGAGAAATCTGCTTTTTTATTATAATTATTTTTAAAATTTTAAAAAACACATCATAAAAATTTACAAAATAGATTTTTTTATGAAAATAAGTGATTTTTTCATAAATAAGCTAAAACAATTGAGCCCTAAAAGTCTTAGTAGTTTAAAATATTAATCTCTAAATTTTAAAATAATTTAAACTTTTATAATTTTATTTTCTAAAATATAGAGACCAATATTTTAAATGATTAAAACTATAGGGATTGAGTTACATTATGTTAGTTTAGGAATTGAATTACAACTGAGTCAAAACTATAAAGATTAAATTACAACAAATCAAAGTTCATGGATTGAGCTACAATTAAGCAAAATTATAGGGACCAAATGATTAATCTTTCCTAAAAAATAATTTATAATAATTAGCACTAACAAAAATATCATAAATATCAAATACTCCCTCCTGTCTCATTCAAAAAAAAAAAAAAAGAGAGAGAATGATTTTCTATCCTAATTATTAGGCATGTCATTGATGTTTTATTTTGATATTACATAATTAGAAAATATATATTTAATAGGTTAAAGTTTAAAAACTTATTAAATTCTTAGACAGAGATAATGAGTTTAGGATTTTTCTTAATTCTAGTGAAATATATTGAAAATGACTTATAAACAAGATCGGATAAAGTATTTCCTGTTAATAAAAAATAATTTTTTCTTATGCTGTTAGCAGCAAGCTATAAATATATTTTTTTTCAGCTCTTCTTACTCTAAATATTTTTTTCTTCCGTGATTTGCCACCATCTCAACTCAATTATTTATTGATGTCTGTTTATAAATTTTACAATTAACGATATCCAGTTAACCCAGTGTATATTGCTTTGTTTCCTTACCTTTCTTAGTGTAAATTAGGACTCATATTTTTGTGATTGGATTAAAGTTATATTTTGCCTCTGAATTAAACACAGCCTGTTCAGCTACTCATAGTTTTAGATGCACAAAAGCCCTACTAACCATTTTCAAGTTCGAAATGCAAGCTCTATTTAGACATAGACGATTAAATTAAAAAAAATATATAGGAAATTAAATAGTATAAATTTTCTCAATACAAGTGTCTCAACTAACAAATAATACAATTCAAGGAAGAGAGAATACAATTTTAGATTTTTCTCACCATATTAAATTGATTTATGCCGTCATGTCAATGTTATATAATATATATTATATATATCAGACCACCCAAATCTTAACTTCGAAACTGTTCAATAAAATCCCTCATCCGAGCAAATTTTTTGTACACCTTAGATAGACTGATAAATTTCTTGAATATTCATAGGATTTAAGCATATAGCCTAAGTTATCCTAATTTTAAGATTTTAAAAAACTCAAAATATAGAATAGTTCTCACATCCTATACTATTATTTTAGTATTAAAATACTTAGATGATATTGGGGTTTCAAAGTTTGTATGCCCTATGACTTATATATTAAGCTTACAAAAGCACTTGCATATATTATATCTAAAACATAAATCCACTGTTATTATTAGCGAGTTGACATGACAAATTGCATGCACCTCTAAGGTGTAAAACTAAATATATTTTTTTTTTCTCTCGCCATTAATTAAGGCCTATACCAATTTTAACTTTTAATCTCAAACACCAACTTTTGTTTGCTCTGTTTCTATCGCATTAATCAGAAGTCAAAGCATATTATCTCCTGTGGAAAGGTAAAGCTGAGAGAGACATGGCTTAGTTTTGAAGTTGCTGTCAAATGGATGCTGCCATTGCTTTAACACTCATAGGAGCTTTATTGATCTTATTGGCTTTACCAATTTCCAAAGCCATCAGATTTGTCGCCTCTTCTCTTTGTGGTATCCGTCCCGTTGCTATTAATGAGTGCAGGTAACTAGTTCAAAATTAAATAGGGTTAAATGGATTTGGAAATTGTTTTTAATATATATGCAAGCAACTTAACTCTTAAACTATATATCTAGGAGCATCTGGGACCCTAAATTTATTTTTAGTATATAATGTTTCTTTTAATTTTTGAAAACAACATAATATTACTCTTACTTTTAATAAAAAATAACTTTTTTGTATTTTTTGGTCCTTTATATAATTTTGGGTCTTTTTTTAATTTTTGAGGCTTTTTTTATAAATTTCTAGTCAACTATAGTAAAAGTTAACTTGTGTTAATAGTCAAGGGAACACTATTATATTATTTTTAAAAGGTAAAGAGAACATTGCATCAATAGTGAATTTAAGGTCTCATGTGCTCTTAAACCTTTAATTTAAGGATGAAATGGCCATTTAACCCAATTAAGTAACTTCATACTCTATTATTTTCTTGTTTGATCTTTTGGTAACCCAATATTTATAGATGATTCGTTTCTAATTGTAGTTGTAAGGATGCTGCTGATTCAATTTCAATGGTTTCTTCTCAGATGATTGTTACTCCAGTTATCAAGTATGATGTATTTCTTAGCTTTAGAGGGGAGGACACTCGCGACAATTTCACGAGTTATCTTTATGAAGCGCTTTGCAATGCAAATATTCATACTTTTATGGATGTAAAACTTGACAAAGGAGAACAGATCTCACCAATTCTCTTGAGAACCATAGAGGAGTCAAAGATATCTTTGATTATCTTCTCCAAAGATTATGCTTCTTCATCGTGGTGCATGGAAGAGCTTGTTCACATATTAGAATGCAAGAAAAAATTTGGAAGGATTGTGATACCTATTTTCTACAAGGTAGATCCATCAAATATACGCAAACAAAATGGAAGCTTTGGAGAGGGATTTGCTAAATTGAAACAAAAATTTAGACAAAGCCAAGACAAAGTGCAAAAGTGGACAAATGTTTTGATACAATCTTCAAGTCTCTCAGGATGGGATTCAAGAAATATCAGGTAACTTCATAGACATTTCCCTTTTTTGTTGCGTCCGGCCATTCATTTTTTTTTTGGGAAAATATTGATGAAGGACATCCTAAAGAATTTAATATTTGACAACACTACTACAAAATTACCTTTTTACATCACTATTTTATGTCAATTATACAAAAATCCAATTAAAAAAGATGATGGCATTTTTGAAATTTTAACAGAGAGATTTAATGTTAGCTTTAAATAAAACTAACATGGAAAAGGTTTTTCACGTCAGTTATGCACAAAACTGATGTGAAAAGCCAAAATTATTTTAAAAAATCAATTTTCTTAAAAAATTCACATGGTATCATTTTAAATTGTAGTTGAAAACTTGAGACTGCGTCTTGACTCTTCAGTTGCTTTCTTTCTTCGAAAATTGAACAGATGCCTTCTTCCTCCTTTCTCTCCCATAGGTTCCACCATTCTCCTTCCCTAATCGTTTGAAGTGCCACCATCAGCATTTTTGCCGTCCGTCATACTCAATGTGAAAAATGAACTTTTCACTTCGATCTTTTTTACTTCTCTCTAATAACTGATGTAAAAAATTCAAAATGACTAATATAAAAAGTCCTTCTTATAGTAGTGCAAGGATTTTGAACAAGTAAATATTAACAAATGAATGAGTGAAGTTACTGTTTTAACAAGCATCCAATTTATTCAAAATCCTTGTCAAATAGTATTAATTTCTTTCAAGAATCTTTTATTGATATTCTCCCTTTATTCCTGGGTGCAAGTTTGGTGATTCATAAACATATTATAGTTGTTTCTCTTATATGTTTCCTTCCTGTTAAATATAATTTTTTTAATTTGCATTTTGCGGTAGGCCTGAGCCCAAACTTATTAAAGAGATTATCAAAGATATTTTGAGCAAGTTGAATCATAACTCATCATATCACTTTGAAGGTCTAGCAGGCATTGATCATAATATTGAAAATATTAAAAAACTTTTATCTGAGGCTTGCATTGTGGGAATATGCGGCATGGGTGGTGCTGGGAAATCCACACTTGCTAAAGTTGTATTTCACAAGTTAAAATCACAATTTGGAGCTTTCTCCTTAGTTGAAAATGTAAGAGAACGACTTGCAAGAATTGGATTGGACAAGTTACAAGAAGAATGCCTCAAAGAATTATTAAATGACGACGACATTAATGCCTTTGACATAAAATCCACTTTTGTGAAAAGTAGGCTTCAACGCAAAAAAATTCTCCTTGTACTTGATGACGTGGACAATTCAATAATAGCTGAAGATTTAACTAAAGTGTATAATTGGTTTGGAGAAGGAAGTAGAATTATCATCACTTCAAGAGACATGCAAGTGCTTAAGAATGCTTCTGCACATTCAATATACCATGTTCCGAGTCTGGATTTCCATGATGCCATTCATCTCTTCAGTTTGAAAGCGTTCAAGCAAAATGAGCCATCTAAAGATTATAAAGAGCTATCAAAATTAGTTATTCATTATTGTCAAGGAAATCCACTAGCCTTGGTTGTGTTGGGTTGCTTTCTTTATGGTAGAGGAAAAGAAGAATGGGAAAGTGCTTTGGAAAAGCTAAATGAAGCGCCACCAAAGGATATAGTTGATGTTCTGAAATTGAGTTTTGATGGACTTGATGACAAACAAAAGAATGTGTTTCTTGACCTAACATTTTTTATCAAAGACACTGATGGGATCAATTTGGAGCTAACAAGACAATTACATGGTTCTTCTGTACACGTTGATATAAGTGTTCTCAAAGAAAGATCCCTCATTTCAGAAGATGAATATGGTTATTTTGTGATGCACGATCTTGTGGGAAAAATGGGCCTTGAAATTGCTAGACAACAGTTATTCTTTGGTCTTGAAAACCCCGTTCGTCTATGGTGGCATGAAGACATTCAAAAATTTTTCATCTATAATAAGGTAACAATTTAATTTGTTTATTATTTTATATTATTTTCTTTATCTTCTTAATAATATTTCAATCATATTTATTTGTCGACAATTTGTTTTAATTTGTTTATTATTTTATTCATATTCTTAATATTAATTTCTAATGATAAAATTCAAAATTTAGCTTATACTCCTTCTGTTTTGTTCTTAAGATTTTACTCTTATTTGAGTTGGATTACTCTTATAATTACGAAAACCTTTCTCGATTTAAATGACTAATAATACTGCATTAGGGTGTAACTTATTCGCCTGCTTAAACTTTAAAATAAAATTAGGATTATAATGTGATATGTAAAATATAGCATTAGTCGTCCTTATTAAAGATTTTTTTATTAAGTTTTAAATTATCTACAAGATTGATATTTCTACTCTTGAAAATCGACGCAGTGTAAAGGTGTTTGTACACAACGCATACATCTCAACATTATAAGAAGTACAAATTATATGAAAGTTGAAAACAAAGAAAATTATTAAGAATTTATATGCATGTGTCAAGTGACTTTAAAAATGAATATTTGTTTTTATAGGTTATATTAAATATTTGTGCATTCATGTGGATATGCATGCATAAGCACGAGTGTGCATGAGTGTGTCTGCTTATTTATGTCTTTTGAGAAATTCTGTTATACATTACCAAGAAAACAAGAATAAACAAATTGCTTCAATAACCACACGGGTCATTTTTAGTCATTGTTTCTTGTTAATAATTGTTCTTCATTCCCTTGATTTATTTACTAGGGAATTGAGGCCATCCGGTGCATGTCTTTGGATACGAGCAAGATAAAAAGGATTACATTGACAGCTAGTAACTTTAGAAAGATGTATAACTTAATATTGCTTAAAGTTTACAAGTCTGATCCGAGAAAGCTTTCAAAGTTGAATGTTTGTGAAGATCTAGATTATCTTCCAGAAGAACTTAGGTTTTTTTGTTGGGAAGAATATCCTCTGCCGTATGTGCCATTAAACCTTTGTGCGGATAATCTTGTTCAACTTAAAATGCCTAATAGTTATATCCGACAACTTTGGAATGGAGATCAGGTATGCATTTTTGTTAACGTCTAAAATATTTTTTTTTTTTGTGATTCAAAGAAACTCTTTAATGTAGATATCTCTCATGCATTGACCAAATAATTCATAATGTGCAATTGCTTCAGTATCTTCACATAAATTAATGGTTAGATTGTAGTTATATAAGCGAAACTCGATGAAAAGCATGTACTTTTGTCACCAATAATCAATTCAAGCTTTATGGAGTATTTTTTCCTTGTCTAATAAAATTATGTCATGTTTCACTAGTTTAATCAAATAAAATTTTATATGTCATTATCTTTAATGATTCTTTTGGAAATAAAATGCCTATTTAATTTTCAATTTTTCTCTCTTCATCATCACTAATGACAGAATCAACTTATATTTGGAACCATCTAATATGACATGTTTTTATTGGAGAGTATGAATGATATGATGCGATGGGTCCACGCAAGAATTTCTTTTTTTGCCTTAAATCCAATTCATCATCTGAATCTGTTGATTTAGTTCCTTTTACAATCCCTCATTTTTAATTGTCACGAGAGGAATTGTTCAACATGATTAATTATTTAGTTATCTACTTCATTTTACACTTTTTTTGCAGCATTTTCCAAATCTGAAGTTGATCAATTTACGAGGCTCGAAATCTCTTACTGCACTCCCAGATCTCTCTTGTGCCCCAAAGGTTGAATACATATATCTCGTTGGCTGTGTAAAGTTGGCTCAAATTCATTCCTCAACTGTCATGGGCGAGCTTTGTCGTTTAAATCTAGAAGATAGTGGGCGAAAGCAGATAAACATTGGTGGCACTATTGAAGATCATCAGAGAAGCAGTCCAGCTTTAGTGATAGATTACAATTATTTGGATACAATCGATTTGTCATTCAATAAAGTGAGGATGAAGCTCTTCCTTTCTGATGATGGCAACATTATCTCTGGTGTTGGACTGAAACATGTGGTAATGCTATTGGAAAATAATAGCAAGAGTGCAGATCAGTTAAAATTGAGGACACAAAGTTTGACATCTTTACTTCCATTTGTTAGTACTGTTAAATGGTTTAGGGTTTTCAAGCAACATGAAAACTATGACGATCGTTTTTATAATTGTCACAATGATCCTTCAGGCAATGATATTTCTATAAATGTTGGGGTGAGGATCAGTGATGAAGCAGAAAGCATTGTGGTGGGTTCATTACCATTGAGAAGATCAGAAGAGGGCACGGCATTGGAACTTGACGAAGAAGAAGATGGTGAAGATGAGTTAATGGAAGAAGAAGAATGTGAGACTAATATGCGATTAACAAGACTTCCCAATCACATCACTTGCTGGTCACTGTTGACACAAGTGAGATTAAACGAGAGTAATGTTATTGGAAATGCAGGTTGCAGCATTCCTCAGGTTTCAATTTTGAAATCACTTGCACTCTCTCATCATTGCAAAAGAATTCAACCTCTCTTGGATCTAACACTCTCTTTTGACATTACAGCACCTGATTATCATCGTCCTTATTCTTTTTGGCTCCCTTATTCAATGCCCTCCACTGAAGCTCGGTATCTTAAATCGTTCCGCTGTTATTTTGAGTATACGGTTGATCATATTGTTTTTGAGTATACTGAGTGGTAGGCATTTCATCATCACATTTATGTTTAAATTAGTAAGTCTTGTTTCTTTTTGTTGCACGTTAACATGGTCAAATATATCAAGTTCATTGTTTAATATGTAATTCACTGAGGCCTTCCTCACACCTGTGTAAAAATATAATTGTTAATGCTGCTTCCCCCACCCCCCAAAGGCTAATGCATGTTGCTTTCCAATTGACAGCTCTATTGCGCATTTGAAAGGACTAGAGAATTAAAATGAGTTGTATATAGTTTATAGCAATATATGTACCTTTTTTTTAAACTAGTATTTTTGGAAGATGCTGCTTCGTCTAATATTTTTTTTTTTAATTAATGTCACTTTTAACTAAATATACTATCAGCCAACTCATCATTGAGTTCATCTTTTCTTTTTCTTTCAATAGCAACTAGTTAGAACCAAGGCGATGAATCTCTGTGCTTCTTAGGTTTTTCTTTGGTGCAGCTGGCAGTTCATCTGCTTTTGGTTTCTTCGATCTCTTCCATTGCTTCATGCTCTTCCCTGGTCTCTTATATGTTTTCCTTCGTTCTTAGTATCTTGCATTTTTTTCTCTTGGTTTGTCTCTTGTTTTCTTTTACTCGCTGGTTTTTCTTTTCCAGTTCCTCTAATCTCAGATGATTTTACCTTTTTCTTGCCCTTCTCATGTTGCTTACTGCCGTCATCAGTTTTTGGTTTTTCGAGACTTAGATGATCGATCGTCCTTTGCATGTTTCTAAGTTTTCTTCTCTTCTTAAGATTCATTGGCATCTCAAGGGTTCTGTCTGCATTGTTCAGCATATGGGTCCATTTTTGTGGTGTTTTCGGATTTTCATTTTATGTCGATTCGTGGTGTTTGGTTGTCTCAAAGGTTTTCTGTCTCTATTACCCATTGGCATGTGTCGTTCAATTTTTTTTCTGCTTCTTATTCTCCCTGGTCTTACTTTATCTTATTATTCGTTTTCTATTGCTTCTTTTATTGGAAATAGATTATGTTCGTCTGTTTTCTATTTTCTTGAATTTTCAGCCAAAGAGGAAAACTGGGGTGGGAGCTGGATTTTGGTCAATTTGATTCTTCTAGTCAGTTTAGAATGAAATTTTGTGTGAGAAAATGTCAAGAGAATGAGTTTAGAAGTTTTGGAATACAAATTGGAATTCGCCCTTTTAAAACATTGACTTTATGTGAAAGAGTAAGCTGTGGATAGGAATGGGTTATGCAAACAAACTTGGAAATGGATTCTACATGCAAATAAAAGCTTAAATGTGAGGATCTAATATTTTAATTTGTATCTAACCATGCTTCAAATAAGATTACCTCCAATAGAAGCATACCTACAAACAATTAAAAAAAAAAAGCTAAAAGTTTAGGGTTAAAAGAATAGAGTAGAGGAAGTGAAGGAGGATTTTGCATTCATACGTGGTTTATGAATTGTTAAAGGCTAGAAATTATTTTTTTTTCATACAAGGGAAAATAAGGCTGGAAATGATTTTTATAATGTTGTATAGGTGATTGTTTAGGCTTTGATGTTTGTCAAGGGCCCAAGGGAGTTCACATTCAAGGCGACTTTAAATAATATAAAAAATAACATTAAATGTTAATTATTTCAATGGAATTTATAATACTACAATATATATGATATTTTTATATTTATTTTATGTTTTTAAAATAATAATAATTAAGTTTTATAAGCAAAATAAATAGCCATAAATAAATTTATTATTATGTATATAAGGAGGGGTCTTTAAAAAAAAAAACAGAGAGAATGCCATCATTTCTTATGAAGAGGCTAACATCAAAACATAATTAATATATATATATATATATGCACGTATATATATGTATATATAGGGTTTGGATAGGATTGCCACCTAATTAAAAAAACATATCTGCAGGTTCTTATAGTTTACTTCAACTTTTAATCCGGTTCCTATAGTTTTATTTGTTGAACTTGAACCCTCATATACTTTCACAAGTTAAATCTGTTAGCTCCCAACCCATTTACACCGTTAACATTATGTGACATGGCTGATGATTGTGCAGCAACTAATCCACCTAAGAGATCTGACGTGGCTCCTACAGAATTAAAAAATTGGTTCCAGTCCTTCAGGCATATCCATCGGGTTCGGGCAGACGGCAGCGGAAGGTCATGGCAGATGGCAACTCGATGCGCAGAGGGTTCAAAATCGTTGGTCAAGAGAAATTAATTAATTAATATCCCTTCTAAATTATGTTGCTCAAAGAAGTAACGTTCTCATAGAAGCATAAAAAATGGACTCAGACTCATGAAATTAAACTCCTTAAAAAAGCAAATGAGAATGCTTTCTCGGTGAAGTTGTGATCTTTAAAACAAATGATTCTGTAAGGCATGCAAAGGGAAATGGAAAGACTCAAGAAACAAAGAATGGAGTGAAGCAAATAAAAAAAAAATGATTCCTTGTGATCTTAAAATCCTTGTGACCAGATTCATAAAAAAACACAAACTCAAGACAAAGACAGAGACGCAAAGAACTCACAAGCAAGAATCCACTGGGGAAAAGTTGATCTTTGTGGCAAAATTAATCCACCTGGATGATGATTAAGCAGACTGTTCTATTTCTATTAGCCAAATCAGCTTCATCTTCTTTTCGGTGTTAATGGGCGAGGGGCTAATGGGATTTACCTGTGAAGTATAAGGATCTGATTCCAATAAATAAAATTACAGAGATTTAATTAAAAATTAAAAGAAATTATAAGGACATGTAGATGTGTTTTCCCTTAATATATATATAGGGTTTGGAGAGGACTGCTACCAAATTAAAAAAACTTGTTCATTAAAAACTCGTAACCCATCGATCTCCTCCAAGTCACCAAAATGCAAATAATATATTGTCATACTTTATCTTTTAAAAACATTATAGATTTTTATGATCAAAATATGAAATTAAATAATCTTGTTTCTAAATTACTTCCTCCCTTTAAAAATATAAGGTATTTTTTGAAGGTTGAATGTTAAAAAAATGTAAAATATTTTTAGTATTTTGAGGTATAATCATTGCCTCTCTTTTTTAAAAAGTGTCTCTATTGAATAATTATTTTATATTTATTTTAAAGTAAAACACCTATTACATAGAGGTAAATATAAAAAGATAATGTTAGTTTGAAGGAAAGTAACTATTTTATTAAAGGTAAAATTTAATTAAAAATATCTTATATTTTAAATCAAGTATTAATTATTAATGAGGGAAGATATAAAATTTTTGGCCAATTTTAAATTTTATTTTGTTTAAAATATATTATATGCAAATTCAATAGATTTTCAGGGACAAGTAGTTGCCCCTTATTCAGCAAACGTGGGTACGTGTGCCTCCATTTTCTCTCTCATTCCGTTCATATTGTTTTTAAATTCCGCTTGTTGTTTCTATTAAAAAAAGTCCTTAAAGATTACTTTTAAGTAAAAACTAGAATTACATTTGTCCACTAGAAGAGGTCATAAATTTCAGATTTAAAGTGAAAATTTTAAATTTAAGTTTGAAATAACTGAATATTATTTTTAGATATTGTGGACAATAATTTTTAAAGAGATAAGATTATATCTCATGAATACCGAATCAGTTTTGTGAAAGAAATATCTCCGAAATTTTAGTTAATTAAGATAAGACGCCTGGACATATTATTCACAAAAAAAAATTACATATATATACAACAGATAAGGTAGAGTCTTAGCTTTCTGCATCTCTGAAAAGCACAGAATCGATCTCACATAGGGTTTAAACTTTAAAGTGACCAGTTCTAATGCTGGGGACAGAGGCGATGAAAATTTGCTGTTGCTTCCCTTATACAGGTAAATATAAAATATATACATATTTTCTTATTCATTCAACTAATAATTAATTAAAATTCAGTCGCTTCCAGGTATATTTTTCTGATGGAACTATGTTTCAGGTGGAAGAAAAGCACCACCTAGTCACTGCTTGTTCACAATCAATTCCTTTTCTTTGCTTTCTGAGCCATACACCTCAGAAAAATTCGAAGCCGGCGGATACGAATGGTATTTTCTTAGCCTTAAAAATGGTATTTAGGGTTTTTATATGGGAAAATCACACTTAAGAACCTGCGAAAATCAAACTACAAAATGTTGAAATTGAATTTTGGGACAATGATCCTTTTTTTGCACCCTCTGACATGCACATTTAGAGGTAGCCATTTACTTTTAGGGATATTTTAGTCATAAAAATGATTTGTAATTTACTTTTAGGGATATTTTAGTCATAAAAATGATTTGTAAATTGCAAAAAATGATCTAGATGCTTAAATTTAATTTGAAGATTTTAAGATCCACAATGGTTACTATTGATATTCACGTATTCTTATTTGTGATTTTCCCTTTTTACATTATATATATATATATATATAGTGATATTGACATTTTGAATTTTTTTTTCCCCTTTGATTTGGATTTCGATATTTTCATGTGGAAAATGATCATAAACATATTGTTCTGGTAGGACTCTATCTGTTTACCCATCTGGGAACAAAAAAAGAGACGGAGATCATCACATATCAATATATCTGAACTTGATAGTTCAAAACTCAAATTTGATTCCTGTTGGTTGGGAGGTCAATGCCATTACAAATTTGTTTGTATATGATTGCCTTCGCGACGAGTATTTGTCAACTCAAGGTACTTTTAACTTGTTAGCTTTTTTCTTTTTTTAATTATGTTGTTTTGAAGGCTGGGCCAGAGAATTATGTTTAGGTTTCTCATAATACAATTAAATATCACAGGTTATTGACAAACCGAATATGTCAAATTACAATGACAATGAAAATATTCGATATTTGGCTATACTAAGCTGTCAATGAACATAGTGATATTTAAGGCTAAAATATACCAAACAAAATTAAACGTTAAAGCAGTTGCATAGAAAAAAGGCCTTACACTTAAAAGTTTAAAATTAACCTCCTTTACCTTTTATTTTCTTGCAAGAAACTCCTCAATTATTATTTTTTAGTTATCTTATTACTAACAATTGTCATGTCATATTAATAAAAGACATGTACGTAGCACTTTATACGACATCCTATGTAGACTAACAATGACTTTATAAATTCTTAGGGAAAATGACAATTAAGGACCCCCTAAGATCATTAATTTCAATTAATGATCATAAAATATTGAAATCTCAATTAAGAATCATGGTCCTTACTTGAAATAAAATG